GGGTTTAGGGTTTAGGGCCTTACAGTATCATGGAACCTTGTCAGGGCCCTCTAGACCCCTGAGCTCTCTGGCTGGCCCTTGAAATCGTGAAGTCGATCTCTCCATTCACACCCCTTGGCCTTAGACTCATCGCGTACTTCGTGTTTGAGCCATTTTCGGTTTAGTTTGGGCTTTGGGGTGTAGGGTTTAGTTTTTTGGGATGAAAGTCGAAGGCTCACGAGCCGACATCAGATACATCATGTGGATCCCGCATCTTGCGTTGAGTGCCACTGAAGCTTCAGGCTTGGGGGCAAGATTCCTCTTGGATCAGCAGTACCAGGGCCTTTTGTAGGGGGGAGCTTCAGCTCGAGAGGCTGATGCCATGCCCGGTTACAGGACAGACACCCTGAAGCCCGAAAGTTACACAGCCAAAAAGCCTCCGACCCTCTTCGCTAGACCCTAAACCCTAAACCCTCAACCCTAAACCCTAAACCCTAAACCCTAAGAAGCCCAGAAACAAAAGGCTCCAAGACCTACAGCCCGACACCCTGAAGCTCTCGGGCCTGAATCTCTCAGCGCTGAGACCCTAAACCCTGAAAGCCCCGGGGCAACCCCTAACTTCCACGTTTTCGGGTTTAGGGAGTTGAGGGTTTAGGGTTTAGGGTTTACCCTAAATCTTAATTCCTAAACCCTTAAAAACCCCTAACAACCCCGAACCCCAAACCTCTGCTGCGAACACTGGAAGCCCCAAGCCTAAACCCTAAACCTCACACCTAAACGAGGGCACCGAAGAAGAAGAGGCCCCCCAATGCTATAATCTGGGTTTAGGGTTTGGGGTGTAGGGTGTACGGTGTAGGGTTTAGGGTGTAGGGTGTAGGGTTTAGGGTTTAGGGTTTAGGGTTTAGGGGGTTCCTTAAACCCAAGCCCTAAACCTTAAGCCCTAAACCTTAAGCCCTAAACCCTAAACCCTAGACCCAAGCCCTAAGCCTTAAGCCCAACACCCAGCATCCCTTGGACTCCACGGCAAGGCTGTGCACTCGACATTCTATAACTGGGCTTTGGAGGGTTTAGGGCTTAGGGTTTAGGGGTACCATACTTTAATGCTTTTTTGGGGACCTGTTCCTTAAAGGAACCATTATAAAATGAAAGTCTATACTTTTTCTCCCTGGTTACTTCAAAGCCCATAGAGGTCTGACTCATGGGGAACAACATCCCCTATCGTCCCTGTAATGTAGAGGTCGGAATAATTTCCAACAGCATACGCTAGGGGTACCTAACAATCATGATACCGTAATATGTCCCACAACCCTACTCTGTTCACAAAACCTTAAGCCTTAAACCCTAAACCTGAAAACCTAAGCCCTAAACCTTAAACCCTAAACCCCACCCCNNCCCCAAAAAAAAAAAAAAAAAACTAACCCGCCCCCTCCCATGTCCAGGAAACTTTGGCGGTCAACCTGTGGGGCCTCGAGGCACACAGGGAGCTTCGGGGCTCCTACCTTAGAGGCTTTGGAGGTTTAGGGTTTACGGGTTTAGGGTTTAGGGTTTAGGCGTTACGGTTTAGGGTTTAGGGTTTAGGGTTTAGGGTTTAGGGTTTAGGGGTTGGGGTTTAGGGCTACAGGGCTTCGATCTTTGATGCTATGGAGGCTTAGGGTTTAGGGTTAGATAGTCCAGAGCTTTAGGGCTTCTACCTTAGATACCTATAGAGGTTTAGGGTTTGGGGTTAGATACTCTAGAGGTTTAGGGCTTCTACCTAGTATACTTTACAGGTTTAGGGTTTAGGGTTAGATGCTCTGGAGGTTTAGGGCTTCTACCAAGTATACTTTACGGGTTTAGGGCTTAGGGTTAGATACTTTGGCGGTTTAGGGTGCAGATGCTTTGGGGTTCATGGTTCAGATACCTCAGGGTTTGTTTCTAGGGTTTAGACACTTTAGGATTGAGCCCCTGCACCAGCCATTAAGCCGCATTGCCATGATCAAGCTCACCTATGAGTGCACCCGATTAATCGGGAATCCATGCCCCAAGCATGTAACAGCGCATCCAGCCCCATCCATGAGAAAGTCTACTCCGACCCCATGTTAACGTCCACTACGACCATCCATATTAACACCTGTGTTCGTAGGCATCGATTCCCCGGGGCAGCCATGCCCCAAGCATGACAGCGTCCGTGGTGTCATCCCCCCTGTCGCCAGAGCATAGTACTGTCCAGTCAGTAGCCGGAGTACAGGGACACCAACACGCAGAACCCCAACGTCCGACGTCAATAATATAGGAGCCTTAATAATTAGAATAGGGCTTTGGGGGCTCCTTTCAAATATAGGGGCGGTAATAGTTACAATAGCGTTTTGGGGCCCATTATACTACGTATACTTTTCATAAGGCGCCCCCAAAATAGTATTCGTAATTATTTAGGCCCCTACTTTATTTTAGGGTTCCTTAGTACTACTACACTGCAGTAGTATATCCCGAAACCCCATCCTTACTCTGAAGGCCTCTAGACTAATATCGGGGCCGGAATAAATACCTATACTATTTTGGGGGTTCCTTATTATAGTAACAGTAAAAATATACCCAAAAACCCTATTCTAATTATTAAGACCCTTATATTAGCCTGAATTGCCATCTCCACGATACAGTGCCAGGCCATTAAGACCCGTGGCGAGTCCGTTGCGGTAGTTCTTGGCCTCGTGGGTGCACGGCCGGTGGCCGAGGTCTGGAGCTGTGTGGGTTGTAGGAATTCGGGTTCAGGGGTTTGTGAAGTTGCGTGCGAAGGGCTTAGGACGGTTTCGTATTGGGGTGCGCGTGGTTTGCAGAAATATTCGGATTGTTGTTTGGATGCCGGGGGGGGTGTTTTCTTGTTTGAGTGCCGATGGGGATTTTGACGCCACTGTGATTGGTGTCTTGGGTCGAACAAGAAAGCCACCTTGCACGCGCTTGTGAAGAAGCGGATAGCACCGGTTTCATTGAAATCCAGATATCATATAGAAGCCAGGATAGTTACCGATATAATTCCGGAGGGTCCTTGTTATAACAATCGAACAATATCTAGCCCAAGGCACTATTCGAATTATTCCTAGTATCCTGTTATAGTCCGCGGTGATATTCTCATGCACACCAGCACCCTAGACTAAACATTGAGGCCCTGGTATGCAAAACGAAACCCTCATGAATCCATGTGAGAGTCTTGCCAGAATCATCAGCGACCCTAATCCCTAAACACCAAACCTTTATCGTAATTCCCTCGGCAACCCGACACGTCCGCAGGCCACCGGCCGCGTAGCCCGCTATGCTCCTTGGTCGAACAAAGTGCTGCTTTGAGGGTTTAGGGTTTAGGGTTTAATGCTTTGTGGGTTTGAGATTAATATAGGGGGCTCAATAATTCTAATTCTCAAGGCCCCTACACTAGGCTTAGGGTTTAGGGTTTTAGGGTTTCAGGGGCCTGTTGAGCTTTGAGCTTTGGATTGGGTCTTGTCCTGCGGGGCATGGCTGAGGGCGGTTTAGGGTTTAGGGTTTAGGGTTTAGTTTAGGTTGCTTGGCTTCTGGGTTTCGGGACAAGTAAGATGGAAAGAGAGCCCAATACCCTGTAAGAAGCAGGAACATACCTTCAATCATAGGAATAGGTCCGATACAACTTGAGCTATGCTGTATCCCCTTTATAGAAACTTTAGAAAACCTTACATTCTTTGTAGAACCCCATCAAGAAACAGTCGAGCAGATGCAAACGCATCCCAGGAGCTCATACCACTGGAGGCGATGGGGGGTCAATATAGAACGGTCATAGGGGGATACGATTGACCTTGATTCAGACCTCTATATTGGGGCCGACCTCTAAGGTTCCGGGTGTTAGGGCCCGTGCCTGTCGCCCCAACAGTCCCAACAATTGCAAATGAGTGAATTATGACCCTTACGTTATTAGGTGTAGCCTATCAGGCACTACACCTAAGGATGTATTATTGAGAGTTGTTCATACCTCTTTTCTTGCAGGGTGCGGGGATGTACCGTTGTCATGTCGATCGGGTTTATAAGCACCATACTAAAGTTAGTTATCGGCGCTTTCGGTACAAAGAGCTGAAAGGATCCATCGGGTTTGCAGTTGAGGCGTCGGAGTATAGGAGTCAGGCTCTGGGCATTCCACTTGCAATGCCTGCATTAGGGTCCTCATCAAGGGACCTTGTCGTCTTGGGTCGAAGTTTTAGCAGCCCAAGCCTCACAATCCTATATAATCCGAAGCGAGATCAAAATTCCAAGCTCTACTGTCCCCAAGCATCCTTATATCACATCAAAACATTAAGGAACTCCGGCACCCCTAGTCCTCGATAGAAAGGGCCTCCAGAAAAAAGGTACCCCGAGGTTCACGAAAGCCTATACCCTCAACATCCCTTAACCCTAAACTCTAAAGGCTAGGCCCTGAAGGCAAAAGGCCCTGTGACCTAAACCTGAAGCCCTAGGTTTAAGAATCCCTATAATGTAAGGGCCTTAATAATTAGAATGGGGTTTCGGGGTTCCTTATTATGATTATAGTATACTATACCCCAAAACCCTATTCTAATTATTAAGGCCCCTATATTACCCTAAACCCTAAACCCTAACAAGTAATGGCCCTCCTCTGAGAGGAGCTCGGACGTCCTCGTGTGGACGCACTTTGCTCGTTGAGCCCGGTGCTTGGGAGTTTGAGGGTTTGTTTTTTTTTGTGGGGGCTTGGGATTTAGGGTTTACCTACAGTCTCCATTGTAGTTCCTTTTCTTTGGTTTAACCAATTGTAAATTCAGGATTTTATAACGTAGCCCCAAAAAGGAACTACAAAGGAGACTATAGGTAGAGTTCAAGGTTTAGGGTTTCGGGGCTTGGTGTTTGGGTTCAGGGTTTCGGGATGGGGGTTTGGGGTTTGATGGTCAGGGCACCTTATGGGCTTATATAGGAGGCAGGTAGTATCTGCAGCATCAACACCTGTAAATATCTATAAGTTAGTAGGACGTGACCCCTTTAATTGCAGAGGGTAACACCAAAAAGCAACAGTTAATTGGAACCGCGGTTAAGCCTTCAACCACACCGAAAACACTCCGCAACCCCCGTAGAACCCCTTGCAGAAAACCCTAAACCGTAAACCCTAAACCCTAAACCCTAAAAGGCAGAGCCTGAGGTTTGTGAAAAGTGAGGGGTTCAGGGTCTGGGGTTGCATTTGGCTACTGGGTTTAGGGCTTAATGTAAGATCTAAATAACGATTCAGATGTTTCGGGCGTGAGGCCTGTATTTCCGATTTCGCGTCTAAAACGCAGCGTCGGAGCAACTTTTACTTCACTGCCCAGTTTATTTTTGTGGCACCAGCTACCTATATAGCGCTGCAACGAGATATACCCTATAACTAATAACTAACAGGGCAAAACCTACTAACTCATGGTCTTGGGGGTTTCTTAAGCACAGCTCTTTGATCGAAGTTAAGCGAATCACGGTGAATGTCGTAGACAAGTCCCAAAGGTGTACAAAGCGCTGCATAGGGCTACAGTAGCGATGCTCCAAGGCCTTGTGAGCATGCCCGCTCTCCCCGAGTGGGGTTAAGGTGAGGGTACACTTGAAATTCGTTGGAAATCTTACTGCTTCGCCCATTTCAAGTTTCCAAGTCTGCATTCCGCAAGCCCACCAATAGCGCCAAAGCTCCGCAACCCTTACTCGCTGTAGCCCCCAAACCATCACGAACCTGTAGATACAAAGTATCCCACCCTCCCCAACGAAAATAGCAGGTAATTTCAGCAGCAAACACCCAAGAGAAACCTTTGCAGCTCCTGATCCTTAACCCTACGCCCCTGGACCCCGAGCCCGAAAGATTCGGCCTAAACCCTCGATCCTAAGTAGATCCTGAATTGAGAACCCTCAGCCCTCTAAGCGCTGACTCCTACGTTCTACACCTTTTACAGATCCACAATCCTACGTTCTAAGCTCTAGATCCACAACTCCTCAGGTGGTATCTTCCGGGACTCCTTCGCAAACATCGTGGAACCTCGTCGGGTTTCTGTTGGGGTGTGGTTTAGGGTGTAGGGTACAGGGTTCGGGGTTCGGGTTCAAGGTCCCGTTGTTGGGGTGTGAGTACCCGTGCCCCAGGAGGATTTCCGTTTCGACTGGTTGTGTGGGCTTCGACTTCAGGGTGTCATGAGCACTCCTGCTCACGTTGCTCGCATGCCCCCTCCGCCCGCGCCCAAAGTTTCGGGGATTAGCAGGGATTAGGGCCAGTATGTCTCAAGTGTTCGCGCTGTCAGTTTGTTGGCATCATGCGCCAGCAGGACAGCTGGTTTCTCAACTTCTCCTGCTGAGCCGAATAAAGTCTTGGTATCGATGTAGTGAAGTATCGCCGCGGGTTCAAGTTGAACTTGGGAGCATAGTCATGTTCTTAAAGCCTGGAACTTCACCCTCACGACCTTACAGCGCTAGGCTTTTGTGGCGTAGGCATCAAGGTTCTTCTTTGCTTTAGAGGTTCCGTGCAAGCTTGGGGCGCATTCGTGCCATCCCGACCCGGCTGAATGCATGAGCAGACTCGTATCTTCCTCTGGAAGCGGTGTGTTGCCACTACAGTCACTAGAGATTGGCTGTAGGTTCAATCTTGGTACTCAATCACCTCCAGACCCTAAACCCGAAAACCCAATAAACCCTAAACCCTAAACCCGAAAACCCTA